ATCAGGTCAGAATGCTTGAAACGGTATGTATGCAGAGTTCGATTGCGTACTCCGTGTGTTGACCATAGTGGCTCATCTTCTCCCTTCCTCAAAATAGATCCGACCCTTGTCCACCTTAAGTTTAACCACTAACCTTGTATGCATTGTGAGTTTTGCAGCGGTCAGTGAAGTTCGCTTCACTGTATTTCGCTGTACGATGATGATGCTCCAGCGGTTGATTTCAGGTCAACATTACTCAATGGACTAACCCTACCTGTGTTATCCGTTTCTGTTGTTTTACTTGGTTGAATGGGATTGTTTGAAAAAATGTTAGGAATTGGTTGTTTGTGTCGTTTAGCCAAGTGTATTCCCCGTTGAGCACACTTGTGTATTCTGCAGACCCCGAAATCCTCACTTCTACTTGATTCGCAACAGAGGGCAACCCGAAAATTTATCTTGTGCACAGTGAATTTCAGTGCTTCAACAATTCTGAGGTTGCTACTTTTTCGTTTAGGTTTTCAATGCGATTGCACCGAAAATTCAATCTGGTTGGAGTTAAAAATATGATCTTGTTATCATTCTCACATCTTACCATCTGAGTGCAGCTGCAATGTAGGATATCCGGAGGATATTACTGATTAGGTCCTATTCAAGTGTAGCATGTCACTGAGTAAGTCAAAATTTATTCCCCCAGTACTGCATATCACCCTGTCGATTTTCTGATTTGTGCGTGTTTATGATCCCAACATATGTCCCATTCAATTCTCCGTCCTAATTGTTTTTCGCAGATGATCGCACGGACTCCAGCTTGTCAGATGAGCGAGGACAATTTGGCGAAAGTGTTTGGACCGATCGTGGTAGGGTACTCGTGCCCTGAACCACAACTGATGCAAACTGTGAACGAGACTCGAACACAAAAAGCGGTGAGTTGAGTACCTTGAGTGCGCAAGGAGCTGTTCGCACAACATCACAACCGTCTCCGTTTGCTACAAGGAATCCAGATAAATGTTTTCAAATTACAAATCAGGAAAAACCACTGTTCAGTGCCTAAGCTTGGTTTTGGTAACTGTTCAACCAGCCAATGCATTACAATGTAAATCAATGGGAACTTAAAAAAGAATCCAAGAGGAATCTATTTCGTGGTTCTAAAATCTGTATGTGTGGGTGATGGTGGCGCAGTGGTTTAGTCGCTTCACTGGCGTGCTTTGAACCCTATGGTCCGAGTTTCGAGCCTCGCCACCGCCACCCAAATTTGGTGGTAGACAGCTTTGCTGTCGTCCGGTTCAATACCACGCCTAACCTAGCGGGTCCCTAAGTGGTTTGCATTCCTAGTCCCGGGGTTTAGGTTACCGGTTTCCATGACGGAGCAGCAGGTCCTCGTGACTATGGGGTTCGCCCCGTCTGCTGTTCACCACAAATGTGTGTAATAAAAAAAGTGATTCAACTTGCAATCCCTGATTCGCTTGGAATTTTTTATTCAAGAAGATGGAGAAGAAAAACGGCATGACTGAGTTTTGATACATCCTTGGAGGATTGAGTCACGGATTGCATGAACCGTACAAGATTGTTAAGTTCTGGTACACCACCAGTGCGCTACCGGTGTGTACTGAGCAGCCAGTGCACAGTTTTGCTTGTCTGAAATCGAACGAAGGGTTGATTAAAGTTTTCTGTTTAGAGCCCCGATTTCGTAGTTAGACTAGAAGAACTAAACAGTTTAGTGCGAAGATAGAATTTCATATTCTTTATGCTCACCTGTTTGTTTATGGCTTTATTCTTTTACAAACATGATACCAAGCCTTTTTATTGCACCAGAGCACGATAGGAACATCGGTTACCCACTCTCTGGTAGCAAATTCGTGATCTCAACAACAAACGCGTCGATGAATAATCCTGAGTGGAGTCTTTACACATTTGATAAGTGTGCGCATCGTTTTGTCCGAGGCACCCCGGTTGTTTTGCCAAGATAAACACTTTACTCAGCACTGCTGCACAGATTTGAGGGAGCAGATCGGAAGACCAGATGAGACGGAGCAAATAGAGTGGAAAGTATCGAAGTCTATCTTAGATTGAACCACAACAGCCACAACTAATGCAGCCTTGTTTAACTTGATCCTACCTATTAAAATAGGGATAGTAATTACTAAAAGTGCACGAAATTCCATTGCGCCTGTTCGCCGAGCTTGGCAATTTGTTTTATCAAATTTCCCGTAGACGATCTGAAACAGTTCGTATGTAATTCACAACTGTTGCTCTGATCGCAGATCTTGTAGCATCTTGTCTGCGTGACCCACACCATGGCTTTTCCTTTGATGCGTAATTGACTGCTTCTTGTTTTGTAGAAAAGCCTCCATATAAAATGTGACGCGTTGGCTAACTGAACACTCACTAAGCATTCTGAAACTCTCTCATTCCAGAGTTATTGGCTTCAGGAAACAGTCCTTATTGGGTTTGTTTATTCACTTTCCTAGGTTGTGAAGCTTCTGTTCAGCATACCTGATCACATATATTCAACCATCCTGACAAATATACCTTCGGGCGAACATTCGGACAGTGAGCAAGAACATACAACTTATTTTAGCCCAATATCTGCTCGAATGGATCAGCGATCTATTGGTATCGATGATGCGCGGACACCGATGCGTTTACGTCAGACACCACGCCGATTGGCCGGTTTGGGAATGTCTTCACGAAAGCGCTTGCTTCCCCATTTCCTGTCGGTTAACCGCACTGTAATTGACCCGTGAAATGTGTGGTACAAAATTCCCTGTTATCACTTTTATTGCATTTCATTCGTGTGAACCAAACTTTATGACAACCGACTCGCTCTCTTATCTCACTTTTTTTAAGGTATTCTTTCCTAGGGTCTTTTACAATCTTTTATCAGATATATAAATGTTTTACAGATTTTGTGAATGGAATTTCTGAGTAATCTTTAAGCCTATTTTTAACCAGGAAAAAAATAAATTATCTCAGGATGTGTTACTTGTTCTGTGTTGAGGATAATCCGTTGATTGTGATGAAAGGAGAGAATGGAAGTTGATGTTTCTGTCGCCGAGACATGGAGTTCGCTTTTTAGAGAATGGCCGTTACTCATTGTGATGAAGCCCTCTTTTCTTATAGTCAATGCTTTTACGACTAGAGCGATCTGATCGTCGTTACAATAACACGTCTAGAAATGCGAGACTGTCTGTGGATTCCTTTTCCAGCGTGAACTCTATTTTCGGATGATCTCCATTGAGTTTCTCTAACAGCAGCATCGTAAGCACATGTGATATCATCCACATATCGTTTGTAGAAAGGGGGTTCTTCTATGGGTTTTGACAGTACTTCGTTTTCTAATTTGGCCATGAAACTTTTTGTTAATAGTGGTCCTAATGGCGAACCCATGGCTTTTCCGTCTTTAAATCGCACGAATAAACTAAAATTGTGTGTTATCTGTCTAGATAGAGAAGTCTCTTGAGCTCAGCTACGCGTAGTCCAACAGAAGTTCCCGAATTTTCTATATAATAGGCCATGAACTCAAAGATCTCTTAAAAAGGCACGTTGCTGAATAATGAGTTAACATCTAGCGAGAACATCTGCTCATCAGTTAAGTTGATTGGTGTGACAAAATCTAAAGAGTCTCGTAGACTGAACTTGACGTTGTCTCTGCTGACTGGTTCGAGGAGATCGGCTAGCCACTTTTCCAGAGCGAGGTACGGCTAATAATTCATTTCCAAAATGGGACGCAACAGTACCCCCATCCTTGTGGGTCTTGAGTGGTCCATATAGCCTAGGTGTTGTGGTCCCAACCGGTCTAGTTCTTTCATAGATAGACCAATTGATTAGGCCATCTTGTTTTACTTGTCGAATCACTCTGGATATTCTCATTTCTATACCAGGAGCTATTTATCGTTCTCCGTGATGTCAGAGATGTAAACTTAGTACTGTCACCGAGTGGTTTGTTCCTCTTGGTAATATGGTCTGCTCGGTTTAGTATAACGATTTTCGCACCTTTAATCGGTCTTGTAGTCATAATATCCTTATTGTTTTTCAGATGTTCAAGCTTTTCAAAATACTCCAATTTTCGAATCCTCTTTAGTCGTTTTTTTAGATGTCTGATATTGAAAGTATGTCTGAACCAAGTTGGATTTAAGCTCCTGAGCCTCCAGGTGAGATGGTGTTAACTGTGCTAGTTGTCCGTATAGGTTTTCAAACTAAGTTTCCAGCTCTAGTTGGTGAGTAACACGATTTCGAGAGCAAAATTTTGGTCCTAACGACAACAATTCTAGTGTTGACTTATCAAAACTCATAGACGAGAAATTATGAATATACCTTTTCGGATTACTTGAAAAGTCTTTGCACGCTTCTGCGACCGATACTTGCCTGCGTAACTTGGTCTTTTTTTACCGATTGTTGAGACTCGATGATTTTAACGTGAGGCAAAAATTGCTCCGCCTCGTCATCTGTCAGGTGATGTATTGCTCCTGATGCTAGTCACAACCGCTTTTCCATTAGCCCAAGGGTCATGTTCGTCAAGCGTTTGTCGTTTTAATGAGAATCTGATGACTTCAATATGATTCCGACGAAGGATAATGTATTAGCGTTTCGGAAATACATAACGGTTAACACAGTCCTTCAGAAATTACACAGTAGCATTTGCCTCGGCTAACTGTATTTGGAACTACAGGNATGTGTTGCTCCTGATGCTAGTCACCACCGCTTTTCCAGGGAATGGCATCCATTAGCCCAAGGGTCATGTTCGTCAAGCGTTTGTCGTTTTAATGAGAATCTGATGACTTCAATATGATTCCGACGAAGGATAATGTATTAGCGTTTCGGAAATACATAACGGTTAACACAGTCCTTCAGAAATTACACAGTAGCATTTGCCTCGGCTAACTGTATTTGGAACTACAGGTAATGTCTCAGTTCCTCAAATAAACACCGGTCCTTGACCTGCTGTAGATTTAAAATAATTTGCGTTTCAGTAGTCATGAGAACATGAAACAGCAAATAAGCTGGTTTTCGGTGCTACATCAACTGGTTAAATACAGCAAAATTTATAATGCATTAAAACATGCGGGGGAGGAGCCAAATATATGTCAAGGAAACCAGAGTTTTAAGAGAGATGAGGTACTCGTGATAATTGATGTTTGTGACTGTGTTCGCATGGTAATTGAGAGACAGAGTGGTTGTGAATTAGTGGGTAGGTGAATGAGTGGGAGATCACGATCAGAGGTTACATCACCAGATTGTTAGTGGATGGCGATCGTAAGACGAATGTCCTTACAAACTGTTTCTGTGCTCACAAGGATGCGTGTGAGGGGGGGGGGAGACGGATGACAATCGCCTCGGCTGTTGTCAAAATTCTCAACTGGACTTCTTTGGATAACCTACCCTTTATATAAAATAAAATACATGATGGGCATTGAAAGTAGGTTCGAGAAGCTACTATTAGCTGCGGAGGAT